GTCAACCCGAGAGTCAAGGGAGTGCAGTGCAAAACAAGGCAATCTCAGTAGCCCTTCTCCACCCCAGTTATGCCAGAAGCATCCTTTAGCTCTCCTGGGGCCCCTACCTCACCAAAGGCAAGACATTGAAGCTCCTCCTTTTTTAATGTTATTTTAAAAAATTGTTGCCACTCTCCTTCTCATTCGGGAGACTCTTGAGAGGCTCCAAGCCAAATCAGTGCTCAATAAATAGTAACAGTGAATAGGTAAAGATTGATCATTTTAATACGTTTAGTCCAGAAGAGTGGGCCAATGGAAGGTATGTGGTCGGGCGGCTTTTCTGTAAGGAAGCAGACAAGGAGGTGGAATAAAAGAAACGGCAGCAGGTCAAGCCCAAGGACTAGTCTTACATTTTAAATCCTGGTTTAGTTTCTTAAACAAGTGGGCCAGCGGAAGTAACATAAGTAAAGTTGGTGGAAAGCCAAAAACTTGGAAGAATGGGCAAGTCACAGCTTTAAAAAAAAAAAAAGAAAAGGCCTTGAAATGTTTTTAACAATTTGCTTCTTCCTCTCTTCTGAGAAAAATCTTTTACATGATCATAAAGAAGTGTAGGGCTGGTCACTCTTTGGCTTCTGTTTGCTAACAGCAATGACAGGTTTTTTTCAGAGTCACATCTTATAACTTCTTCCACATCAGACCTCTAAATTAGCCCTCAGTTTTCCCTCCACTGGTGAAGTGTTTCCTGTCACCATGATAATTCATCAGGCCACTAAGACAGGGTGGTCACAACCAAAGGGGAGGGGAGCTTGAAGATCAGCTACGCACAGACCCAGCCTTCCTTCCTGTCTGCTATTCCCCCACCATGCACTGCACCTCCCACCACCAGCCCAAAATACCATTCTGATGAAACATTAGAGTGCACACCTCTTTACAGGAATCAGAAAAATAACGCCTTCTAGTCCAGCTTCAGCTCAGGAAGGGAATTTCTTTCTAAAAGCATTTTCCAGTAACTATCTCCAACATCCAACGGGATGGAGCACCCCTCCTCACACTCCATGCTGTTCTCTGTCTCCTCTATTCTAGGCATCCCCACCCTGCATTTTAAGCTGTCCATGTCTTTTCTGCCCACTGCACTTGAAGCTTCTTCAAGGCAGAAACCGTATCTTCCTCACCTCAGAATCCCAAGATTCTAGAACAAAGCAGGTACTTGACAAACATTGATGAATTAATGAATTCATAATTACTTTACTTCTGAATAAACCTGCAGGTTGCACAGTTTATACAGAACTTCTACACTCGCTGTCACCTTTGATCCTAGCAACAGTCATGAAGTCCCCCTTAGGGAGGGGTCACAGTTGTCCCCATCTACAGGTGAGGATGTTGAGGCTGAAAGAAGTCAAGAGGCTTGACTGATGCCACACAAGGGGCAGAGAAATGATTTAATGAGCCTTTCTATCTAAATGATCTGAACTCTCTTGCATCTCAAATAGAATCTTGCCTCTCAAATAGGGTCCTGCTACTTTAGATCAGAGGATTTGGAACATCACGAATATTAAAC